TAGATAGATAGATAGATAGATAGATAGATAGATAGATAGATAGATAGATAGATAGATAGATAGATAGATAGATAGATAGATAGATAGATTTTGTCTATATTTATGCATAAATGCATGAGCATGGACACACTAAGGCAGTACGTCAGACATCACATTGGTGTGGAAAAACTATGCACTCAGCTTTTCTGCACGTACACTTCATCTCCAAGATCACCGAGATCTCTGTTGGTCCATGTGAGCCATAGTTTGCTGTGTGTTAGCTTCAGTGAGGGAGGGCGGAGGAATGTAGACTGTGTGCTATTCTCAGGCTGTAGCGGCAACGTAACTACTGCTCGATGCGCTGCACGTGTGGGAATTTCTGCCTGTTTGTGTTTGGGTGCATGTGCATTCACTCTTTAGATGCACACATCTCTTGATTGGCCACTCCAGGACGACAAACTCTTTCCTGCAATTACATTTGAATGCAGCCACTTTGGGAGGGAGAGCCAACCCATTGTCCAGGGAATTCATCTATAAATGGCCAACCACTGGCAAGGCATTTGTCATTGTTTGACATTGTCCAGCAACTTTAAGCTAATGTTAATGAACCACTCCCAGGTGTGAGCGCTTTCTGTTAAACTCACTCGCCCAGTCAGCCAATCTGAGTAAAGTATAGAATCAACACAAGAATCAAGTTTCTATTGTGATTTTCCCAGAGAAAGTATGGTGTAATTGCATTAGAGAGCACAGATAATGTGTGCAGACTTTCTGCAGTTCACCAATCACATCACTGCCTCTGTTTAAAATTCAAGATATTTGCATGAAATCCCAATCAACCAGGATTGCAATGGAAGATATACACATTGTAATTATGTGATTGCTGCTTGCGTTATTGTAAGAATGTTGAGGATCTACTTGTATTGTGCCCCTTCCACACTGTTTTTCCTGCATACTGAGTGTGTTTATTTATGTACATCTTCCTGATTGGTTCATGATTTGGGGGAGGGAACCGTGACACACCTTACCTTAGGCCACTTTCTAATTTTTATGCTTACGTGCGAGCGTAACTGCCTGTGACTGCCTTTCAGTGAAAAACAGGAAGAGAGAGGGTTAACGTGACTGTGTTTTTTTATGAGCAATAGGCTGTAAGTTAGACACACCCCTTCCCACACTAAAATATGTATTAGAAATGCTGCAGTTACAGGATAAAATGATCACACACAGGTTCCACCCTCAAACAGCTTAGAGAATTAGTCATATTTCAACAGAAAGTTGTGTAAATAGACCTCTCTGCATTGAATCATATCTGTTATTAACCTCTGTCTCTCTTCCACAGCATGTCTTTTATCCTGTCTTCCTTCTCTCACCCCAACCGGTCGCAGCAGATGGCCGCCCCTCCCTGAGCCTGGTTCTGCCGGAGGTTTCTTCCTGTTAAAAGGGAGTTTTTCCTTCCCACTGTCGCCAAAGTGCTTGCTCATAGGGGGTCATATGATTGTTGGGTTTTTCTCTGTATCTATGAAGCGCCTTGAGGCGACTTTTGTTGTGATTTGGCGCTATATAAATAAAATTGAATTGAATTGAATTGAATTGTATTCACCTATTCTCAACCAATCAAAATGTGCTTCTTCAAGCTTTGATAAGCTCCCCCACAAATGGCCTCAACATTCCTCATTGACTCAACATGTCAGAAGACTGTCCACAGCTCTGCCTGACCTACACAAGCTTTGTTGTAGCAGTTGACCTAAGACCCTTACCATTGTTGAGTCACATTGCATAGACTGTCTACAGGCTGGCTGTGTCTGAAGCAGTGAAATAAACTGAATGTTTGCTTTGTACACCACATTTCATGAGGTAAGGTGGAATCCATTTGGACAATAAGACAATTTTCATAATGTTACCTCTGTGCACCACCGTAGTGGGTCTGAAATGAGGCATTCAAAATGTAAGTGAAATGTAGACTTTCAGAAATATTGCACTAACCAATTTTGGAATCACAGGCATTTTTACATAGTTACTCTGTTTTTCCTGACCCAAAAAGCAATATATCAAGATATAAAAATAGCATAGTACATGGATTCAAATGCTCTCAAATGCAGTACGTGATGGCTGAAATTCAGAACTCATGGACATTAATAAATGCTACTTTCATCAATTGATATTCTTATCTAGCTTCTGCTTGTTTGTGGTGTTTTCTGCCATTACTTTGGCTTTAGCAATTGAAAAGGAAGTCCAGTTGTGCTGACGAACTGTAACATTCATTTTATTTGCCTTAGGAAGCTTTTGGGATGCTTTTCTATATGTTGTAGGTCATTGACTGAATCTGAGCAGAAATATAGCCCCATGTGCTTCATAATTTACCATGCTGCTTCTTTCAGCTATCGCTTCATCAGTAAACAGTGACTCACTTCTATTGGCAGGTAGCTACCCATGCCAGGTGATGTGGTAAATATGGGCTCTTTCTGTTTCTCTCTACTGTCTTCCAATCTGGTACCAGTTATTCAGCTTAATTTGTCCAATGCTGGTATAGTTTTCTAGTGAAATCTCACTCATTGTTACTGGTGGTTTGCATCTTTGTGATTACATTTATGAAGGAATTCCTTCAACGACATGTCCACCTCCTCAAGAGTTTACTTGAATCAGCTAGATGCTTCAAAGGTGCTTTGTCCAAGTTTCTGCATCTCTCTAATAAATCTTTTTTACTTGACATCATCCATACAGCTACCAAGCAACAAAAAAGTCTGTAATTTCTAAATTGTTATTGTCATATTTTGTGTTAAACCCCTTTAACGGAAGTGGTGTACAGAAGAAAAATCATGAAAATGTCACTGTTCACTTAACTTCACTTCACTGCTTCACTTAACCCAAACTCCATTTGTTATATTCCTCATCCTTACCACCGTTGATGACATTTATCTTTTTAACTTTTTCTTCTTGTTTAGATAAAAGTATGACAGAAAGAAAGAAAGAAAGAAAGAAAGAAAGAAAGAAAGAAAGAAAGAAAGAAAGAAAGAAAGCAAACCCACACACACAAACATATCAATGTAATCATATGACTTTAATATTCTTCCTGTGCATTTCAAACGGTCTTTCTACATGCACTGATGACAATATCGGCATCCATTGTATTGCATTGCTTGTGAGCATAGTAATTAAATGAGAACCGTCCAGTCGTTCAGTGCTTGTGCATAATCAGTTATAAAAATAGGCAACATGTTTCATTGTTGAAGAATTCTAAGCATGAAATTGTGAAACAATCCATGATGCAGCTTGAGAGAGAACAAAAAACAGCTGTTTCTCGAAATGTGCTGTCTAGTCTCAATTAAGTCGTAAGGAACATGTAAAAGTCACATATTTTTGAGTGGCACAAAGCTGGTACTTTATTGACTTGGGAAAGCTGTCTTCCAAGAGACTCTGCTCTATTTCTAGGCATCATCTGCCTAGGCACTCTGCATGTAATTTCCACTGGCTCACGTGACTGCGCCAATTCAAGCAAACTTTGTAGCTGTTATGAAGCTGGCCAGCAAGATGAGAGAAAAGCTGCCATATCCGTGCCATCCGTGCGTCTTCAAGGGAGCCTACAGACTGACTGCAGAAGCCAGTGTTCATTCCTCCTGAACCTCCACGGGTGCCTTTGCTCCAACCGTCTTTGAAGCAGTGGCACTACACAGAGGAATTTCCTGCTAAGTGCTGCACTGGGTACCAACTTTATCTTTGGTTCTAAAGACTTTCTATGGAAAAAGAAACCACACCAACAACATGTGAACAAGGAAATGATGGGACAAGATATTCCTCTGACAGTGATTCAGCATATCCTTTTGTTAGGCAAGATAGTCCCTAAATAGGTTTTGCCATTGCCACAAGCCTTGTCATTGCTTTAACCCCAAACAATTTCCGACTCATTTGATTAAGGTTAGGGAGGTTATTTTCTGGTTGTCTGGAAATCCAGATGGATACAAATATATGGTACATGTTCTTCATCTTTGTCAGCTGAACGTGAGCACTGCATGCAGACTGCACAGTTTGCGTGCAGTATCTCAATTTCGAATAGTAAACCCAATAAATGTAAAACTGTATACTTGCAATGCTTTACACCACACCCTCTGAGTAAACCATAATATTACTCATTTTAAATGCAGACAGGTAACTAGAGAAACAGACTCTAAAGAAGCTACATTTCTTAGGTTTTGCTGGCATAAATAAGTAACTTGTAATGGCTTATGAAGAACTAGAAGAGCCTTCTCGTCAAGCTGCAGTAGTCATCTGCCAGTGGATGCTGAACCACTCACCTAAGTCATCTTTAATCTCTGTCACCATCAAGTAATAGCTTCAGATCTGAAACCAGCTGAGTCAATCCTGCCTACCTGACTAATCCTCCCTGCAGTGTCTCTGCCAGGATTGACTGGCTGTCTAAGCGTTGTATAGAGGCTTGTATCTGTAGTTTACATAACACTACCATATGTCACTGAGCAATCAGGAAATGCTCTCACATCCTTTAAATAAACGTATTTCATGTGCACCATTACATTTCTTAGGAACCCTTCTTGTCATACAGTAACTGTCCAACTGTCTAACTGTCCAACCCTGACATAAAACAGGTATTCACTTTATGTGTTCTAAAAAATTAAATTGAAACAATTACCATAGGTGTTTAAGGACATTGTATATATGGACTTCAGCATTTACAGTTGTGCA